ATATTTTATCATTATATTGGGAAATAATAGAGGCTGACGGGGGAAATATATACCCACCAATCCCTCATACTTTATTCCATAGTAAAAGAAAAAAATGGGATATATATTTATAAAGGGGGAAAGGCAGAGTGAATATCACACTAATCGAATACGAAAGTTCTATTTTCATACAAATAAACGAAAACGAAAAAAAAAAAAACTATTTGATTTCATCCTACCCATTACCACCAAATTACCACCAACCATTCATTACATGTACATGCGTAACCCCAGCTAAAAATAAAAGGTATTTCAGTCATTTCTGTAATTGTGTCGTGACGAAATGCATTAATAACCGCTCAGGGAGCAAAGGTTACGTGCGCGCTGGAAGGGATTTAGAGCGTAAATTCACTCGAAAAAAAATGCAATGGAATGGATGCATTTCTTTCTCTTCGTCACTTGCGATTCTGTCTTTCTGTGTGTCGGTCTATTTCTCTCATTCTCTGTGACAAAGAGAGAGGGAGAGGGAGAGAGAGAGAAAGAGAATGTGGCATATGCACATACACAGACACAGACAGACACACACGCACATGCACGCTTATACACGCACATTTATGCTTACACACACACACACACATGTTGCCATTTCAAAATATGACCCATACTTTGAGATGACAAGTAACCGTACAAACGTAAATCAGAATATCGAAAATATCATACTCGAAAAGAATGAAATAAAAAACCTACTGAAAGGGTTACACAAGGACCAGATGAGATATCTAGCTGTGTTCTGAGGGAATGTGCAGAAGAATTGTGTATTCCGTCATTGTTGATATTCCAAAATATATTGAGACAAGGAAAACTACCAAAAGATTGGAAATTTGCCAGTGTTACACTTTTATACAAGAACGGCGACAAACAAAACCCTCTAAAATATAGACCAGTTTCATTAACCAGTGTAGTATGCAAGCTGTTGAAAAGGATAATTAGGAAACAGTGGATTGAAGGACTTGAAAAATACGATATGATATCAAATAAACAATTTGGTTTTAGGGAAGGAAGGTCATGCATCTCTGTTTCCATGATAGAGTTTCTGAAATATTACAAGAAAGAGACGGCTGGGTGATTGTGTATACTTAGACCTAAAGAAGGCATTTGATACGGTGTCTCATAAAAGACTATTATGGAAATTAGAACACCTAGATGGAGTGAAAGGCAAACTCCTCGAATGGATGGAAGACTTTCTTTATGACTGATGAGAACCGTAATTAGAGGGAAGCACTCTACACAACGACGAGTAACTAGCGGAGTACCTCAAGGATCGGTCTTGGCGCCGATTATGTTTACTATTTTCATAAATGATTTAGGGTCAAACATAAGCCCATGTAGTTATCTGAATATGTTTGCAGACGACGCGAAATTGCAAAATAGGATAATAGGCGATGTCTCATGTCATTGCCTCCAAAGTGACATCGAGAACTTATTCATTTGGAATTGTGCATAGAAAATGGAATTCAACATCAATAAATGCCATACAGTCTTATAATTTTTTTTTTTTTTTTATAATCTAGTTTGATTCCATTTGTTACAATGGATATTCTTGCTGTGACATACTGTCTGTTTTATTTTGCTTCTAGATTATCCCCTGTGTGCAAGGAATGGCCGGGGTTACCATCCACTGGTGGCGAGGGATTCGAACGCAGGTCAGCAAGATTGCTAGACGAGATCGCTACCGCTGCACCACACAGCGAAAGTAAAAATCTTCCACTATACCAATACAAGTTAGGAGACGTGATATCAACCCAACAAGATAAAGAAAAACACCTTGGAATAATCATAAACAGGAACCTAAGCCCAAATGATCACATAAATAACAAGGTTCATAAAATTCTAGGGCTGACTGCCAACATGAAGAGATCATTCGTGTGTGTGGAGGAAAACATGGTAAAGAAAGATCACTACAGCCATCATAAGACCTAGTATTGTGTATGGTGCAGGGGTATGGAGTCCACACTTAAAAAGGATATAGATAAACTAGAAAGAGTTCAAAGAGCAGCCATAAGATGGGCACCTACTCTGAGAGATATGAGCTACGAAGAAAGACGACAGAAAATAGGTCTTGCTACTTTGGAAGAAAGGAAAAAGGAGGTGACATGATAATGATGTTCAACTATACTGCAGGAAGGGTGAAGTTGGACAGAGATGGCTTTATAATTTTGAACACAAGAAGGACGAGAGGACACAACAAGAAGCTGAAAGTAAAAAGAGGCGAGAAAAATGTCAAGAAGTTCAGTTTCCTAAACAGAACTATTGAAACATGAAACTATCTTCCGAATATCGTTGTGTGCTTCAATTTAAAAAGTTATATGATGATTTAAATATTGCTGACGGGGCCATTTGAGCTCAGCTCTTCTCACGTATCGCAACAACTAGGTAAGAAAACACACACACACACATACACACATATACACATATATACATATATACATATACACACATACACACACACACGCGCGCGCAC